CCAGCATGCTGAGCGCCGCCAGCGCCGCGCTCGCCCACACGCGCTGCCGGCCCGACCTGCGCCACACGGCACACTTAATTATTCTATTCAGATCATATTGAGACGAAACGAGTAAAACTTTTGTCAAGTTTTCTTCATCATCATCATCATCATCATCACCAAGAAAATTAGTACCGCGCTGTAGAATTGGCGCAATACTAGATTATTGGCATAAACGTAACATCTCTAACTGACAGCTGTCAATGTTATTATAAGGATTGGACATTCGCGCGCATTCCTGGCAACACCTCTAGTGTAGTGTTTAAATTAATAAAGCTAATTGTTTAAAAATAGGTACAAATATTAAGGAAATAGAATAACAGTACTAAAGTTTACTTTTAAAATCCAATATAAAGTAAAAAATAACTTCAAATCAATAAACCAAATGATAGATATTAGACGAAGTTCTGTCTTAAAGAAACATTTAAGCTCGTACTAAAAATATATCTCAAACTCCAAACAATATCAAAGAACTTGGTAAGAACAAAAACGAACTATTCCCTAGAGACCGGCACAGCCCTCGCAGGTTGAAACAGACAACCAATGTTATCAAAACCACGAATGTTGAAGTAAATGTTAAAAAAGTGCTCTTTATTTCTCACGTAATGATAAAATGTCATGACATATCTTTTTAATTTTCAATGAGTTTAAATGCATCCTATTAAAAAGAGAATAAAAAACTGACCCATGGTACAGTAGTAGTGAAGATAGAAATAAGACGCAGGCTAGGACGTCTGCGCGGCCGACCACACCGGCCACCTGCACACACAAAACACAAATTTAAATTATTAAAACTATAGCCCTTTTCTATCTATTATCTTCTAGATCTAAATCATCCTTATTTAACGTAAGAATTTTGAGGTGTTATATAACTTTTAAATGGTCTCTACATATTATAAGTAGGATTTTGTAAAATGCTTAAACATACTTTTGTTCAAAGTCAATATTTTCTTACTTCATATCGTTAAATATAAGTTAAACATGTAATATAGAAAGTTTAACTTGAGTAGCGCGATAGGCGAGTTGAATTATAAACTGGAATAAGAGCGCACGTAGTCGGCGCTAACGCGACTACTTAAGTGCAGTGTAAACTTAACAACCATCTACGCGAAATTTCACCGAACAAAAGCATAACTTGATCTCAAGTAGCACAACTCTCCGCAACTTAGAATCCGCGCACGTGTGCAACTTATTGTTGGAGAATTATTCGTATATTCTAAGAGCATAAAAGTTTAAGGTCTTCTCTATTTTTCTTGTAAGCAGTTCCTTTTGACGACGATAACGATGCTTTCTTCCGATCATAGACAGATCAGGACATACAGTTTACCATTGTGTTTTCTGCCAGCCAATGAATGTAATACTGTATTATTGCTTATTAAAAGAGTACAATTGTATGCAAAAATACTAACCGCTTCAGTGTGTATTGGATGTACAGCAAATAGCAATGCAGCGAGCGCGGCGAAGGGCCGCTGCAGACGTGCGACGACGGCGCCGACGCGAGCCACCAGGGCGCAACACACCGCGTGCAGGCACACGTTGACCACGTGCCACCACCACACAGACACGCCGCACAACCAGTAGTTCAAGCTAATATAAACAGCAAAGGAATCACATATACAATAGTCTTTTTGAACTGCCCTCAAAACAAAACAAATGCTAGTAAAATATTCACGAGATTCTACGAAATGGTAGACCTTGGTTAAAGCTTCGTATCCCTTAAATGCCCGTAGTTGTCAAAAAATCAAGCACCATGCTAGCTACTTCCATGATCGTTAGTGTTTACACATGTCTATAGCTGCCACATGCTAGATTGCTTTTGTTAGCTTGCTTTCCCGCTCTCAATGCAGATTTATGCTATTTCGAATTTCTATTTATCGAATTACATACGATATCTATTAGTTTGGCAAAAGTAGATAACTATTTCTTGAACGAAACATATAAAATATACACATATGTAAGTCTTTATCGTTACGCTGGAAAATGAAGCGCGTCCCGAATGTTTCCTGCATCCGGCTCGATACGCGACTTGCGTAACTTTGCGCACATCACATTAAACTGCTCTGTACGTAAATACGACTCATAGCAGAACTTGGTGAGACAGGTACTGACCCTAAAAATATAGCTAAACACTGTTTTACATAAATATATATCACTAGCTGTTGCCCGCGACTTCGTCCGCGTGGTATTAGAAAACATACGAACTATATAAATATCAAGAAGCTACGTATCCGTCGGGAACCGGACATTTCTCAGGGATGAACCTTATCCCATGTGTACTCTAGACTTTGTTTTATATCTTTGACAAATTTCAATAAGATATGTTGAACCGTTGCAGAATGATCGAGTAAACATTAAAAAACTAAATTAATGAATCCCACGGGAACCGTAACTATTCTCGAGATAAAAAGTAGCCTATGTGTTCTTCCAGACTATGCTCTAAAGCTGTGCCAAATTTTATGGAGATCCGTTCAGCCATTTAGGCTACAAACGCTAACAAACATCCATCCATCCATCCATTTAAACTTTCGCATTTATAATATTAGTAAGATTATATTACTTTTGTTCTTGTACGTCAAGTTTCGTCACTACCTATATTTAGTGAATATTTAGCAATAAATTCTTTTAGTTAATCACTTTAAGTAAGTGAATTGTTACTTATGATTAAGGAAAATAAAGATTGTTAAACAAAAAAGAATCCAGTATACGTACGTACATTATTTACTTGTCACTTCTCATTAACTAAACGATTTGATGTGTTTAATTCTGACTGTGCTTTGCTTAGTTCACTAAAGTTGCCGGTCGGTTTCGATTCCAACCACAACAGCATCATTTATACCGAAACTTTCATAAATTCACACATTACGACTGTTATTAGCTAGTTTGAACTCGGTAGTTGTTTTTAAAATATTTTTTTAATACTTAAAACAGAATTTTCTCAACTTTTTAATTGGACGTGCGAAAATTTGTGAATAACTTCGGAGTCGTTCATTAAAATCCGATGATCGCGATGAATTTAAATGAAGACGGGCACAGGCGCGCGCTTTGTGTCACACTTTTCATTTCATTATTAATACGCGATGCTCGTTTTTTCACTGAAAGAGGAAATTGAGTGTTTTAACGGACGAATTAAATCTTAACCTACGACATATTTTATACTCAAATTAAATGTTAAAATCAAATAAAATGCGCTCCGAGGTTAAGAACAGCTGAAATGTTACTCTTGTTAGGTTAAATAAGATAGTAAGTGTTAACGAGAAAAAGATAATTTTAACTCATAATAAATAAAAATATTATGTTGTAATGAAAATAATCAACATAACAATTATTACGGACGCGTGATTAACATATATCAAGCAATATAAAGTAAATATTAACGAGATAGATTATTATGTCTATACGATAAATGGTTATTTACCCTGTTAAGTGGAGACAAACTATTTAGTATTTGGTAATTTCGAACATATGTATTATAGGTATATGCAGTGATTACAGAAATCAACACTCGCATATTTTGATAAAATAATTTTATTAAGTTTGCGATCCATTGACATTTGAAAACCGCCTACATCTGAGAGCTGATATTTTTAGAGAATGTCATTGTTCGATTCTGGTATAAATATAGGCTTCTAATTCGATCATAAAAGCGATTTTTATGCTTTCAATCTAAAATAGATTACAAAATAAAATACGAAATTTGTATTGTTTTAGCTAATATGCTAATTAGTTGATTGTTCATTCTCAATAGAAAGTAAATATTTTTTTAAATAGATTACTTCCAACTTAAAATCAACACGAAATACCTTTGATTGTAAAGTTAGTACGAATTACTTATCTACGCAAATCGTATTAAAACTTTACAAATCACTTTTAAAGAGATCAGTGAAGCATGAACGAATTATTTGCAAAGTTTGTAAGACGCGACATCTAATAGCCAATAGGTCACCATACTGTAAAATGTGGGTTGATATTACCTTAAATATATATTTTCGGACTATAAAATTTCCCATATGCAAATATAAAATTATTCATAACTAAAATGGCAGTCAGTTATTAATGTAGAGCACTTTGCGACTCGCCATGTGAGAAATGAAAGCGGAATTGCGCAAACTAATGAGTCCCCGGCACGCCATCGATACCATTTACGTAAATCCTATTTCCGTGGATATGATTTTATTAACTCTGTAAAGCTTACACTCACATTATAAACTGTCGTACAAAAATGTATATTTGAAACAAAACGGGTTGTTTATAAAAGTATATTCTTCTTATGAATACAAGATACTTCTTCACTTAACGTCAATTCAAAATAAGAATGTAACAAAATTGGTGCCACAAGCGTCACCGAAGCGTATTGTATGAGACCCGCCTGAAAACAAACAAATATTGCTGTTCTAACTCTCTATACAAATATTTAGAAGCCATTTAGTAATCTCTTAAGAGAAATAAAAAAGGAGATGTTCATCGACGCCGAACAGCAGATAAGTTGTCGCACTTTTATTTTATAAAAATAAAAATGTATGTAATTTTCTTTTCCTTTGTTTTTATTTTTTTTTTTGTTATTCGTCATTTCTATAATAAGTAAATTTAATGTTTTTCTTTGTATTTTATGTTTAGACACTTATGAATATGTATTGCTCTTCTCAAATGGGGAAAGGGATTGGCTCCTGCAGCACAGGGGAACCTAGTGCAGGAGCCAAGGCTCTCATGAAATGTGTTTATTTTTAAAGTGAAATAATAAAGGATTTAATTTAAAGGATTTAATTTTAGAAAGAGAATCGCTTGCTTAAATGACCTTAACTTGTACTATCCATACAATTATAATAAAGCGTAAACACACACTTCTTTGTTGCCTAAGATGTCAGCAATCACAGCATGTTTTGGAATACTTCTTTTTTAATAAAAACCCTACACTTATGTCACGCTTTAGGCTATATATTTTCACCCCGTTAAACTTAGGGGGTAAATATTTTGGATAAAAACCCTAATGTGGGAAAGAGACCAGTTGTAAGTTGCTGCCAACATCAAGGAAGCAAGGTTGTCATGTCATTTTGACATTTGCAATTGAGAATTTGACAAATGTAAACAATAAAAAAAATCATAATTTCATGCTTATGAAGCCTCACGGGAACAGCTAGTTTGTAATAAAGCCGAGGACAGACTGTGACCGTGTCTGCACGGCAGTTGTGCGGGGCAAGAAATTCCACGAGAAGCGAACTATTGTGGAATGCCAGTCATCAATGTGGTGAGAATGGTGATTGGCGAACTTTCGCTTTATTAATACTTTATCTTATTACGAAATAACCAAAAGCATAAACCTGCCAATCAATGCTGCGTTAATTGTAAGTGTTTAATATGCGAATTACGTTCGTGCTTTGTTTTACAAAAATTTGAATTTCAAATGTCCTCCTCCGGGGCTCGTATCCTCGCCCGGAGCACCTGGGGAGGCAGCGGGGGGACGGCGGGGGGACGGGGGCTGTGGAATATTCATCAGCTGTCTCCGAGAGGACTTCGTTAGCGGCTACGCTGTAATTACTACATTTTGTAACGTCGACAATCATTGTTACGAAAATTCCTTTAAAAGGTTCAAAGCTTTTCAGATAGTTTTACTTTGAATGTATTCTCTAACATATTAGACACTTTATTTACATGACTCATTTATTTGTTATTAAATGTATTAAGTGCAATTACGAAACTTGGAAATATAAACAAAGAGCAGTGTTAGTAAATGGTAATACATCCCTGCCTATTTTAAATGCAGGATTCTTGTCATCTAATTTGAATACCTTGGTTATTATTACATTAAATTCTGAATGAAATAGTATTTTGTATTTGTCATCGATGACAGAATAAAGCGATCTCCTCGCCGCCGCCGCAGTCGCTAACGAACTTCCTAATTGTTTAATATCGGATTATTCTACTAACTAGACAACCAATTGGAATTACAAATTTCTCTTTATAACAAAACTCTAATCAAATTCGGGTTTGGTACAAAGAACTTTTTACTCAATCTAAATTCATTTCGATTGGTTGGATGTTAATTTACAATATTACAAAAGTACCTCTCACTTCATTAACGAACAAACACATAAGATTTTTAGTAGAAATTTAGTAAAAATGTTTTAAAAATAAACACAAGTAAGTACTGCTTATTCCAATCTCATTGGGGCGGGCGGGTAAATCAAACAGTGCTTAGTTCAAAATACAGAGGGCGCTGGAGTGGCGCACAGAATCAGCCGGATATCGCAGCGACATAATGAGCCAGCACAAACGATACTCGACTAGCTCGAGTTCAGAGAACACAATACTATTGATATAAATTTAATACGATTGATGAATATCATTATTTGAAACTTACCGAAATGTAAGCGTAGTGAGTGGTCTGTAGGACTTGTGACTGCTGGGCTCGGACATGGGCGTGCCCCAAAAGTCATTCCTGAAGAGTTGAAGCAGCGGGTTGGCCCCCGTCACGTCGCCGTTGCCCACGATCGCGGGGATGTCGTCGTGCACGAACTCACCGTGCAGGCTGTTCGCGTACGTCAGCGCGCCCACAGACGCCACTAGCGTGTACACAGCCCAATCACTCTCACAGACATTCCGCCACGTCTTTGGGTTTGACACTTCTTCGCGGACCGACGGCAGTGGTCTTCTACGCATGGTTACCTATTCACTACATATTCGAATCATTTTAAAGAATACTTAGGAAGTTGGTAGACACATCGCGTTATACGGAATAACGATCACAAGATAATGAGTTAATCTTTGCATTTTAGTAGTCACTAAATATGTTATTATAATGTATACCAGGGTGAGTTTCAATTCGTCTTTTATATCTGTAAGAATAAAGTCGAATGTTCTTTAACGAGATAGTTTTTCATCCCCTATTTTTATTATAGCGCTTGAGGCAGTACCTGTAACAAAATAAATCATAATTAAGTACACAATAAACATATTCTTCTTTACTTATATAATACTGGCATATAAATAAACATGTAGATATGGCCTTTATATTTTACAAGATATACGAGTAGTAATCCTTGTTAAATCGTAAACTCTAACGTCGATATCCAGCTTGACGCAAGTACGGTCTAATAACATTAATATGGGAAGTGTGAGAGGCAGAGGCGCTGGCACAAAACAAATATTGGATTACATATGATTGATTAAGCTGAAGTTTTGCGAGCGGTCAACTAATGCCTGATCGATACGCGTCAGAGGAACTCCGGGCGGGTTAGCGGTCGTGTAGTGCCTACACTTCGCGCTCACACTGCCACAAGCTTTATCAAATTATACGCCACGGATTATGTGATTGTATATGAGCAGCATAAACGGGTTATTTACCAGGAAAAATTATATATTTACGCAATAAAATACAATCCTACAATTAACTAATTTTTAATTGATTACAATAAATATATCAGTGTGTGTGTGTGTGTGTGTGTGTGAGCACATAAAGATAACAATAGTTTACGCGCGTTCCATTCATAAAAAGTCGTAATGACATTTACCTACTCCCCGCACACGCACATGAACTCGCTACGAAACACATTTTCATTACTGAGCATTATGTATGTTTTCACAGGTTTTTTTGTTTTTTTTTTGTTGTAAATGTTTGAATTAACATTCAAAAAACTTGACGCAAAATTATCTAGACCATTGAAGAATGTTCTATTAGCTGTATTTGTTGTTTCAGAAACAAAATTGTTAATTAATAGCTGTAGACATAATGGGAACTAAATTAATTATTAAGGCTCATGAGCGAAACATCTATTTATCAACTACAGGCTCACATTAGCAGGACGTAACGACCAATAGACCGTAATACGTGAACAGATTGTTTTGTTAAACACATTATTTATTGATACATGCTTGTATTTGATATTTTTTGTTTTATTATCATCAATATTGTATTGTAAAAAATGCTGATTCTATAACTTGAACCTAAACCATCATTATTTGTAGTAGAAAACTATATTTACAAGTGCCAAATCACACGCTATAGACTTGAGGATGAGATGTATACTGCCATCCAGGTGCTAAGAATCTCCACAAAAAAGGCATTCTGAAAGTATTTAGGACAATCCGTTGCTTCGAGCGATGGAAACGCTTCGAAATACAGTAATATCGACAGCCTCGTATACCGAAACATGCATTAAAAATACAGTTCCTTGTGCCGTAAAACATCGGTCATAAACATTTTAATAGGTGTAGTAAATAATACATTACATAACAAAACGAGCTATAGGGAGTAAATACAATATTTAAGATTCAATAATTATATTAATATTTGTCCTCGTTTTCTAATTGGATTGAATAAATCGCAGGACAAGGATAACTTCAGAAGATTTCCTGTAACTGTCTATTTATTTCTTTGATATTACTTAATATAATAATATATTAAGGACCAGTAAAAGCTTTATCACATAAAACTTGTAAGAATGTTAGGCGAAAACAAAAAACTTGAAGTGACTACAAATCATACTTCGAAACACATTAATAAGACAATGGTCGATAGAGTACACCCCTCACTTCGGTTACGATCCCCCACCTCTGACCCCGGAGTAGCAAATGGTGCGTAAATATGCCCTCCGATCAACCACCACGATAATATACGATTTATTCTCTTTCTTACACCATTATAGCTTAAATTGTACAGAAGAAATTATAACTACGTAATAATAGACAGCGATAATTCATAGTTGTGAATTTTTTTTTTAATTACGTTAGTTTCCCATTTACATAAATTGTCAAAGAATAATACAACCATTTCTCCATAGTTACTAATCATAATCTTGTTTATAAAAGAAGAGAGCAAAGGCGTAGCGTGAAACCGAGGAGCTTGTTAACACCCATCAACAAAATAGAAAATATATTCTCGCTTATTGAAAGAACCAATGTGCTACTGGTTTGGGAAAACAGCCGAGGACAGATCCTATAAGGCGGCTGGTTATAAGTTGTATATTTTTTAAGTAATTCAAATTATACTATCAATGGACGGATGTCTAAATAAACTTCAGTGAGGTCACATTATGTCGCTCCGGCAGCCGGAGAAAGGGCCGTCTTGATAGCTCACTGATCCGCTCTCAATTGCCGAATACTTTATCTACTCGTATACTAACGAAATTATTTTAACTCAACTCCAAAGTCAATGTACATCTATACTTATATTTATCTGCGGCAAAATTATAAAGAGTAAAGATTTGTGTTTTTGTTTGAAATAACTCAAAAACTACTGGGCCGATTTTAAATATTCTTTCACCGTTAGAAAGGTAATTTATCTGTGAGTGACATAGGTTATATTTTAATTTCACGCGGGTGTAGTCACAAGAAACATCTAGTAATTTATAAACCAATATAAATTATGTCTTTACAGTTTTTTATTTCTTCTGAGTGTATTAGGAATTTTCTATCTTGAAAAAATGTTACGGCAACGTGGGAGATTTCTTTGCTATTTATTTTAATATACCGCTCCGCTTCTGATTCACCGAACTTGGTTACATATTTACTCTAGCTAGAGTAAATATGTAATATCTACAGTCTACACACAGTTCGAGAATAACCTTAATTACTTGAAATTTCTTTGCAGAAATACTTGAGTACCAGACGTCGTTTCTTTAGCTTTTTTTTCTGCAGTTGTAAATAAAGATATTATGAAGCTATTGGTTATTTGAAATATAAAAATGTTAAAACAGGTATTTTGACACTGGAAATCCGACTTTTTTAAGGATAAGGGCTAAAAAATAAATTACTCCAGTTTTTTGTTGTGTAAATTAATTCTTACTTTAGAAATGTAGAGTTGTTACGAACACATCTTTCAAACATTCATTTCCCGAAAGGTATCCGAAACACGCGAACCCTTTAGGGTAGACCCGGATAATGACTTTCGGTACGGAAAAAAGTTCCAACGGAACCTTCGGGCGTTTTTATAAATTTATAGCAATATATAAACATTAATGTTCACCTAAATTAATTTATCTGAGTCTTCAAAAAAGAAAACTTTTTATTTCAATATAAAAAGTTTTCTTTCTATTACACCATTTTAACAGAAGTAGCGATTGGAAAAGCCCACGGTGTGATTATGAACAACAGTTTTTTTCAATACGAATTAAACAAAAATCACACGAGCATTTATTACTAAAATTCTATATTAACTATTAAATGCTAATCATCTTCTGATGACAATATTTGTGTAACAATAATGCACTTATTCCGATACTAAAATCACACGCGGGCTTAAAATTAAATTAGTGTGAACATGTCATAGATAAGTACCGTGCTATGGGGATTTATGCCCGCTGAATACACAATGAATCTAACCCTGTGCACGCCACATGACCGCAAACAGAGGCCATTGTGTTCAGTCCGTACTGCCACTGGCGTATTTGCGGTTCAAAGTTGTGTAATATCACATAGATACTACTAACGTAGTTTAAAAGTTGTTGAATATGTTAAAAAATGATATTAACATATAACCGTTAATATAGAAAATGAAAGGGATTATCTATACTATTATAATAAAGCGTAAACACATACTTCTTTATGGCGTAAAATGTCAGCAATTACAGTATATATTTGAAAAATTCTTTTTTTAATAAGCCTTACACTTACGTCACGCTTTAGGCTATATATTTTCACGCCATTAGACTTAGGGGGTAAATATTTAGGATAAAAATCCTATTGTGGGAAAGAGACCATAAGTTGCTGACAACATCAGGAAAGTAAGATTGCCAAGGTTTGTCTTGTCATGTCAATTTGACAAATGTAGACAATAAAAAAAATTTGCATAATTTCATGCGGATGAAGCCACACGGGAACAGCTAGCAATCGTATAAAGGCGTAAGCTTTTTAGTGATTAATATGAAAGGGAGGACTTATGTTTATGTTAAACAAATTTCAAACACGATCTCAGTTTTTTATATTAAAGTCATATTTTCCTTGAAATTTGGTGACCTTGTTATAGTCAACGAAATTTATTCCCCGAATAAAAGCCAGTCCCAAAAATCCTATTTAGGATGCTTATCAGGTGGAGCATCAGTCATTGTGACAGTCTTAAAAGACGCGGCTATTACGACGTCGTCGGACGACCCGGGACTGTACCACTCATAAATAGAGCTTAAGAAATTTAAGTTTGCCGCCAAGCCTTTGTGTCGTTAATATCAAGAATAATGGAGGCACATTATTTTGCCTTGGAAGGGTACAAAACTGCATTATCTACTCACAAACAGGTAGGATATCACATCAATATGACATTGCTAACTTATAGATACTTTTATAATTAGCTATCGTCAGCGATTTCTTCAACGTGAAATGTTATAAAGTAGCCTAAAACATTCTCGTATACGGCTAACTTCCAGTTAAAGTCTCGTTAAAACTGGTCCAGCCGTTCCGCATATTACCCGAAAAAACGCGACCTTGCGGAAGACTTTAAAAATTGGATCGTTATAAGCAAAGCATACATCATATTAGCAAAGTACCATTTTTTTGATATTACGTACAGAAAATACAATTTTATGAGTGTATAGTGTGTATACTTTTCTATCTAAATAAACTACCAGATGTTGCTCGCGACTTTGTCCCCATGGAATTAAAAGAATAATAAAACATATAGGCTATGGCAAACACTAATAAGTTATCTTTTTAATGGTGAAATTGTTTTT